AAACATTTGCAAACTGTAAAATGCCACTTAAGTAAAACCTTCTGTCTGACACCCCGCGCACTCTCTCTGACCATCTAGGCGAGTCTAATCCAGTCTGTGAAAGGCTCCAAGAGCAAAACTGGGTTTTTCTTGAGGGACGAAGGAATCCCACCTGTGGCCCACAGTACCGGCTCTTCCTCATGGCCTGCCCTCCAGATTTCAGCTCTGTCTATCCCGCCCCACAATCAGGCAAGCTAATTCCATACGCTTGATCAGCCAGTCAACAAACACATGTATGTGTGAATTGCTGGTTCTGTTCCCTTGGTGGAGCCCTGATGGGTACAGCAACCCAGATGGTCACTCCGCAGATGGTGCCCTCTTCCCTCCTGGGGCCTTGCTCAGCCGGCGGGGCGGAGGGGTTGCCACAGTGCCAGACAGGGCGGCCTTGGCTCTGATGTTGGCCGAGCCCTTGGGGAGGCACTGACACTCTCTCTTTGACTTTGGTTTAATGGCTTGTCCAAAGAGGAGCTTCTGTATAAGGAGCTGCCATCAATCTTCAAAAACACAACAAACAAATCAAAAAAACTACGGACGCGGAGCCAGAGGTGGCCAGAGACGGGGGCAGCCTTAGCCCTCGGCCAGCTGTCCCTGAGCCTCCCTGTTCCAGAGCTGAGCGCCAAGGGCTTTGAGAACCTGAAATTCAAACCTTCCCCCCTGGGGTCCAGAGGAGGGCAGGTTCGTCATGGGAGGAAGGTGGAACTCACTTTAATTCTGTAAAAGATGGAGCTATGCAGTGTGTGTGAGCCTGCGTTTGTTCTCTTGCGCAGGCGCTGCCGCGGTCCGGGGGCAGGTCGTTCCCGCTCCTGCCTCCCTCCAGCCTTGATCGGCTTTCACCACAGTTGCTCCCGGTGACACGCTCTGTCATCCCCGCCCTCTCTTCTCCTTACACTCTGACATCTGCTTCTACCTTATAATTTCACTGCAAATGGCTCTCAGAGCCGGTGCAGCCGAACAAATTCTCTCTCTCCTTCCCTCTCTCTCCCTCTCCGTCTCTCCCGCCCCCACCTTCTGCCCCAGCTTGGCTCCTCCAGCCCCAAAGGGTGAACCCAGGTCTCCCTCCCCTCCCTGCGCCCCCGCCCACCCTTATTCCAACTCTGGAGCCCTGGCACCTGCCTGTCTCCCAAACCCCGCTCTTAGCTGATTGCCAAGCCCCCTGCAGAGGGCTCGCTCTCAGCTGCACCCCTCTCTCAGGTGCGCCCCCTCTCAGCCAGCCACGCCGCCTTTTTCCTGGGCGGCTCCACAACCTCCCTCATCCTCGGGGGCTCCCACCTGCCAGGCGCGACTCCGGCTGCTGTGCCCCCCACCCCGCAGCGTCCTTCCCACAGGCTGGGAAGCCGGGGGTGAGGAATGAGGCCCAGTTCGGCCAGTGGAGGGTCGACTCCTGTCTTTATTTGAGACGTTATCGTAGATGTTCGACATTAATTTTTGTTTAAAATTGTATGAATATGTGTTTTCTTTCTTCAATCTTGAGTTTGGGGGTTTCCTTGAATTTGGCACCTGAGACAAGGGCCTTGAGCCCTTCGCCCAGGTCCGCCCTTGTTTCCTGCATCCCCCCTCGTCGATTCCCGGGTGGCAGCCCTCGGTCACCGGCCTCCTTCCCTGCTCTGCTGCGCCCGCCCCCGCGGGGCCCGGCACGTCCCTCCTTGAGGGTAGGTGGACTCCTCCCTCTCTCCTTCATGATCCCTCAAAGTGTCCCTGCCTCTTGCAGAACCCACAGGCTTCCTGAAAATCACGGTGGCTTCATCTGCTTTTTAATGTGAGACGACAGCCAGCATGCCCCACCCCCTCCGCCAAGATCCAACCCCCCACCTTCCAGATCCGAACCCCACCTTCCCAATGCTCAGCTGGGTCCCAGCACCCCACTCCAGCGCTGAAGAGTGGGGGCAGAAGAGGCGGGGGTGTTCACTGGCTATGCTCTGGGCTTTGGGGATCTCTATCTGTATTGACGCTCACAGATCTACAGGGGTAGGTAAAGAAGGTTTACAGTTGAGAGTACGCGAAACCCAAAGTTTATTCTTGTATCAGTATTTGCTAATCGTTGTATTATTGTCCATACGTACAACTGTGAACCTGCTTTTGCTCCACGCCCTATAGACGATGCAGGCTTTTATGTTGTTGATCTTTCAAAGTCTGTTTTCTGTGTCTTGCCGCCCGAAGGCAAGAGGTCTGCTACTCGATGCTGCTGCCTACGTGTCAGGAACTGGGCCAGTTCTTTTACACAAACTACCTAATCGTCGTTTAACCCAAGAAGCCCGAACGGTAGGAGCATTAGCTTCTTAGGGCTTCCATAACAGAGTACTGCACACGGAGGGGGTTAGAACAGAAGGAATTCATTCTCTCCCGGCTGTGGAGGCTGGGAGTCCGAAACCCAGGCGGCGCGGGGCGGCTTCCTCCCAGATGCTCGGAGGGGCAGTCCGCGCCAGGCCGGCCACTCGCTTCTGCCCGCTGCCCGCAACCCTGACGCTCCTCGGCCTGCAGACCCAGCGCCCCGTCTGTGTCTCCATCTTGTGGCCTTCTCCCTGTGACATCTGACTAGATCTCTGTCCCAATTTCCCTCTTCTTATGAGAACCCCAGTCGCTGGATCCGGGTCCACCCTAACCCAGTACGACCTCATCTAAACTTAATTCCTCTTCAAACACTATTTCCAAATAAAGTCACATGTCTACGGTACTGGAAGTCACAGCTCCGACATATCTTTTGGGAGGACATAACCCATAATAGGAAGATTTGTTCTCATTCTCATATTAAATTGAGACCCAGAGTGTGACTTACAGAGAGACATAGAAAAGAGGTGGCGTAACTCTGTTTTTAATCTGTCCAGGCGTAACTATTGCCACTTAGTGGACAGGGCCCTCTGCCAGGTGCTTCTTTCTTGTTTCCAGTCCTGGTATCAACGGCACAGAGTGACTATCCCCCATTTTACAAGCAGAGACACAGACAATCCAAGGAGCTTGCCCAGAGACACCCAGGTAGGAAGCAGCAGATCTGAGAACCCGTCCAACAATTCTCATCGACCTCGACACACCAGAACGTCTTTGGGATGCCTCGCGCCCCTCCCTTCCCGTATCCTCTCCCCAGGTATCATATGACTTCCTACCCGCCGCTGAGAGTCATGACTATAAAGAACAGGTTCCTGGAATTTCCCAAGGCAGGAAATTGATTACGGGGGTCACAGCGCTGCCACCGATGCCTCCTGGCGGGTGACAGTCTGACAAGAAAGTCCGAGTGCGTAACGTCTTCCTAGCAGCCAAGGAAGCGGTGCACACAAACACCACGCCTGGAGTGCAACCCATTCAAGAGCAGCAGAGGCCACAGCTAATTACTTCCCTGCAGCGCGCTGCCTGGCGGCTGGAACCACTTCTCTGTTCTCACAGGTGCCTTACCAGGACGGAGCCTCTGTTGTACCGGTGGAGAGGAGCTACATCGCAGCCCAGTCCGTAGAATGGTTATTTCCACTGCTTCCTTCTTGCTCAAAATTTAAAAAATCAAGAGCATCACTTCCTGGGAGCTGCTGGGTGGTCTTCCTCCACGTCAATGTCCCCCGACACGCTCAAAGGCCCCTTGCAAACACAGAGACCTTCCAGCAGGGCGGACGCCGCAGAAACTTGGTCAAATCAATGTCCAGGGAAGGGAGCGAGCACTCAGCCCAGTGCCGTGAGGTTGGACCAGCACCGGCAAGTTCAAGTTGTTTTTGCTCATGTTTTGTCAAAGAGACAGTGCAGAAAATGTAGAGGGTAGGAATGTGGCTTTGGAGGCAGGCTGAGTCCGATGCGGAGCCCAGCCCTGCTGTGCCTGCACAGGGGAAATGTAGGTGTGTTATCGCTGTTTTTGAAGCCTCAGTTTCCTTTCCTGTAAAATGGAGATATTGACATGAACCTTGTAGAGCTGTCGTAAGGAATGTCAAGACGCACTATGCCTCTTGATTCCTCACGTGAAACAGAAGCTGTAGGTAAGAATAAGGCATTGTTTTCATTTTGATCTTTTTAACCTTATCCCACGTGACAATATTTCCAGTTAAAAGAGACACAACTTAACTCATAAATGGGAGCACAGATCTGACAGAGGCATCGGGGTGGGAAAACACGTGATGGGATGAGGAGACACCAGAATGATAGGAGACACTCATTTCTTTCATGTGCATTTCTTTCACGTTATCCAACTGAATAAAGCACACACACAGGACTGCATGGTGGTAGGGGACGATCTGGGCCCCACTGACAGTATTTTCCCACATCTTATGTACGTCTTCAAATATCTTTTGTTCACCTTTACGTCTATGAGACGGTATCCTAATGGGTAGGGCTAAGGGCCTGCTCACCCACGCACCCCCTTGACTTAGTGTGTTGAGTCGAGATGACAAAGCCAGCTTTGATTGGCGCCATCGGGAGGGGCGCCCTCTAGAGGCAGCTTCCTCAAATGGCACCTCCCAGGGGGTTAAGCAACTCACACTCATCTTGGAACAGACGCAGTGCTGGAAACGGAGGAGGGGCGGGGGGCTCTCTGCGACCTACCCAGGCCAAACACACGTCGAGGCTGAAAAGACAGCCTGAGCAATGGGATTTGGGTGGCGTTTGCGTTCCCTGGGAGTTCCAACCCAGCTCCCAGGCATGCTTTACAGGAAGAGGAGCGGAGCCATTCACTTTGTCAATTAAAATTCATGAAAAAACAAACACCCACGTTCGTTAAATACAACTATTCAAATACAATATAAATATTGTAAAAAAAACCCTCTCAAAACAAACAGTAGCAGCGAAATACTGAACACCTGTAAACAAAACCACCAGTAACAACCCCTCCCTTCATGACAAAGAACCTGCATCCTTTGAAAACATTGAAGAAACCATGAAGAGAACAGTGGCCATCTTTCTCCTCAACACACGACACTCGACATCTGAAACGATGCCACCAACAGCGGGCACCCGTCGGTGTCGGCGAAAGGCGTGCTGAGTCTTCCTCAGGCCTCCGGGCCTCACGTCGCTGCCGAGGGCAAGCTCTCCGAAAGCCGTCTCCGGGCCGCGATCCTGGCGCACCGGGGGCACTGGGAGGCCTGGAAACACTGCTTGTGAAAGCAAGCCCTGCACTCTGCAAGCAAGGAGGACAGCGTCAGCCAAGGGGGCGCGGCAGGGGGTCTGAGTACCCCCCCAACACCGCACTCTTCCAAAAAGAAACCAGGCCGGTTGACAGTTGGGATTGTAACGTCTCCAGCAGGTCGCCAGAGGAGAGGGGGCTGCGGGCCTGCCCACAGGACGTGGCCCCCTCCCCTGCTGCTCAGGAGGTGGAGCCCCGTGTTTGGAAATGGTCCTCAGAGGACAGCACTGCCATGCTCGAGCATGTCCCCTTGTTAGCATGCGTCTGCGTGGGGGACTGGCGCTCAACGTGAGGCTTAAAGGTCGGCTGGCCCCTGCTCCTCAGTTTGAGAGGATGCGGAAGGGCGTTCGGCCTTGGGGGTCCTGGTTAGACGTGCTGAGCCCTCACTCAACCACAGCCCTGTGGGCCTCTCCCTCCGCCTGACCCTGCTGCCTTCTCGCCTGGGGCAGGCGGGGGGGATGGAGGGAAGGTGGCAGGCAGAGGCCAAGAATTCGCCCCAATGTGCTTGCTTTTGGCCCTGCTTCTGAGTGTCCCTGCTGGGGACCCCCCACCGCAACCCTGTCTGATGAGTGAGGAGAGGCACCACCTGAACCGTCTACGGGGAAGGCCTGCTCCCAGCGTGAAGGCAGGCTCAGGGCCGGACCTCTCCCAGGAAGCTGTTTAGAGATCCTGGGAGGTCCTGGGGCATGAATGCAGTAGAACAGGGTCTGCAACCTCTCCTGTAAGCAGCTAGACAGCGAGTGTTTTAGACCCTGGGGCCTGTGGTCTCCATGACAACCATTGGGCTCTGCCACTGGAGCCAAAAAGAAGCCAGAGATAACACTGCGAGGCTGGGCAGGACTGCGATCCAATCAGGAAATTGGGTGCTGTAGCTTGTCCTGATGTTGGAGAATCAGGGCTCAGACAAAACAGGGTCCACGTCCTCTCTGCCAACCCTGTCCCAGGAGACAGCCGCCTTTACCCCTGTCGCACCCAAATACTCCTCCCTGTGTCCCCCGAACTTGAGGAGCTGCAATTCAACGTAGAAGCACATGCCGGCATCATTATAACTTACTGTGATTTAGCTATCGTGAAGCTTACGTTAATTTTGTGCTTGTTATTAAACTTGTGTTAATGGCGTGCTGTGTTATGAAGCGCCTAACTTTAGGCAACCGATTTTTCACAGTACCTGTGCATCTCTGGCACGTGGCGGTCTGGAACGGGAAGATGACGGCCCTGCTCTGGCAGAACTCGCAGATGAAGCCCTTTCCTTGACACAGCTGCGAGGGGGTCAAAGTTCAAATCGTCATTGATAATGTTTCTCTGGTTGCCAAATCTGAGCCACCGTTTTTTAAAAAACTCTGTAAGCATCCATTTTTAAGTGTCTATATACTTCCTGCGTCTGGGAGGAACGGGATGTTATATTCCGCAGGGGGTGGATCAGAGCCATCAAGGTGCACCCGTTCTGCACGGAGGAATTTCACATGAAGGTGCCTAAAGGCATCAGGGCAAGACCATGGTATTAAACGCGAATTCTTAATCGATCTCAGCTCCTGCGCCATTGGGTGGCGAGCCGACGCTGCCGGGTTTGGGCCGCCGGCGCAGGTGGGAGTTGAGGTCGGTCCCAAGCAGGGCTGGGCACCCAGACCGAAGTCACTTGGCCCAGATGAGCATCCCAGCCCTGCCACTTACCAGCAGGATGACCGTTGCCTCTGAACCTCATTGTGCCCATCTGGAAATAGCATGGCCAGCACTGTCGTCGGGGTTGGTAAAGGTTAAACGACATGAAGTGCAGACACCGGATGCATAAGGGGCAGCTCAGGGATGTGCCTGCCATTGTGCCCGCGCCTCCCCCACCCCCTGCAAACCTCACCTCACAGCTGGCCACGTGGGCGAGGGAGGCTTTCAGAATGTCCTTGAGCGAGGGTGCCAGCAGCCCTTTCTTGACCTTGACCAGGTCCTCCAGGGAGAACAGGTGGAGCTCCTCCGACAGGTGCCTGGGCGCCTGTTCAAATGCCTTCAATGCACTGCCAGGGAGGACGAGGAGGGGTCAGGGACATGCCCCGTGGAGACCGGGGCAGCGGGGGGGCGGGTTGGGCAGGCCGTTGTTTTCTCCTGGCCCTCACATTTATTTTTCTAACTCAGTTTTTAAAAAATATCCCCAAGAACAAGTTCGCCTTCCTCATCACTTTACATTTGGCAAGTCTGCTTGGAAGCCAAGAAGCTAAAAATCCATCAATGCTGATTTCCAAAAACTAGGCCAGAGGAGAAACGTGCTTCTTGCAGCCTGCCCAGGCATGCACCAAGCGGAAGAAAACTTAATGTTATCTCAAGTCTTAAACATATGTCCTGGATAAATAACTCACTGCCTCACTGATTCCAGCTCAATCTCAAGACCATCACTGACAGGTGCCCCAGCCGGCAGAAAAATTACTGCCTAGGAGCAGGCATGAAGTTTCCAAATCCTTGCTTTCAGGACTGGGCTTAAGACTCAGGTATCCAGCCCTGGGTGGTGTGGCTCAGCAGGCTGAGTGCTGGCCCTTGAACCAAAGGGTCGCTGGTTCGATTCCCAGCCAGGGTTCATGCCTGGGTAGTGGGCCAGGTCCCCAGTAGGGGGCACGTGAAAGGCAACTACACATTGATGTTTCTCTCCTTCTCTTTCTCCTTTCCTTCCTCTCTTTCTAAAATCTTAAAAAAATAAAAAAAGACTCAGGTGCCCAGCTGTGGGCTGGTCACAGGCACTCGGCTGTCCCAACGGCTCTTGAAACTGAGCGTCACATTCCCCAAACCCTCCTCGTCTCCTCCCAAATTCCCTAAATCGGGAGCAGCATCGCCACCCACTACATTCCCAAGCCAGCCCCTGCGGACACTGGGCCGCCCTTCTAGCGATGCCGAACCACATTTAATGCCCCATCCAGCCTGGGGCACTCGCTCACATGGCGTCTTCTCCCGGCTCAGCTTTCTCTCCGGAAGCCTTGGCTGTCCCCTCGCTACCCCAACCCTCGTGAACGAAATGCGCTTCTGTACCCACGGGACTCTGTACATCTGCATCTAACTCACAGTCCAGCCAGGAGCTGCTGCACTGATTTTCTTTCTGGACTCAACGCGAGTCCCGTTGATTTTTTAATGTGGAGCATGGAATGGATGTTGAAGAAATTGCTGTGGATGGTACGAATTGTGGGTATTGTTACATATTACGGACGAGGCAACTGAGGGTCTGAGGGTAGGTAACCTGTCGCCCTAATGCCACAAGGTAGAGCTCAGGCCGAGCGGATGCAGAAGACGCTCCTCCCCAGGAAATTTCATTCCATAGTAAAACATCATCGTTATGTAAAGATTAGAAACGGAAAGAAGCTTTAAAACAAAACAATCTTTAAACCTATGCTCCTATTGCAACAAATAATCTCAGTTCCTTGAGTAACCTATCCTTTTTCCACCTAAGAATCTCTCTCTCTCTGTCCAAAAAAAATTCATGCTTATACCTTTATGGGCGTGGCTTCCTGACATTCCACTTCTAGAAATTTATCCTAAGGGCATTCCTATGGATATGGGCAGAGATTCAGCTCAAACCCAAATTTTTAGAATATTTAACAAAATGTGTCCATTACAGTTGACATTCAATATTATATGGGTTTCAGGTATACAGCAGAGTGGCTTATCCCTCTGATAAGTCTCGTTTGCTTATTTTTAGACTCCACATAGGAGTAAAATCATATGGTCTTTGTCTTTCTCTGACTGACTCATTTCACAGTATGGAAATTCCTCAAAAAATTAAAAACAAGCTTTCCATATGACCCAGCCATCCCACTTCTGGGTATTTATCTGAAGAAATCCAAAATACTAATTAAAAAAGATGTATGCATCCCTATGTTCACTTCAGCACTACTTATAATAGCCAAGCTATGGAAGCCACCCAAGTGCCCATCAATAGACAACTAGATGAAGAAGATGAGGTACATATATCCAATGAGCACTACTTGGCCATAAAAAAAGAATGAAATCTTACCATTTGCAAAATCATGGGTGGGCCTATAGGGTATTATTCTAGGTAACTAGTTTTTTAAATAACAAAAGGTACTAGAAATATATTTAAATATTAAAACTCCATTAGGTGTAGTATCTATAAAAATATTAAAAGCTATTTTTTAAAGATTCTTTAAAATTTATTTTTAGAGAGATGGCAAAGGAGGGAGAAAGAGAGGGAGAGAAACATCAGTGTGTGGTAGCCTCTTGCGTGCCCCTCTTTGGGGACCTGCCCCCAAAACATGCATGTGCCTTGACTGGGAATTGAACTGGTGACCCTTTGGTTCGCAGGACAGCGCTCAACCCACTGAGCCACACCAGCCAGGACTTAAAAACCTCTTTTAATATTAAGATATTGAAAATCTATTTGGCTAAAAATCTATTAATAGTAGGACAATAGTTAAATTATCACACATCGTAGTCTATAATACCATACGGCCAATACAAGTTTGACATGCCACTCTATCGGGGTTTTTCAGAGTCACTGGTCCCTCCATGCTCACAGGAACACTAGTCACCAAGGCTGAAAGGGGAAAGCAACCCGAGATGGATGAACGAACAAAACGTGGTGTGTGCAACACGTGCAATCAGCCTTAAAAAGGAAAGACATTCTGACAGGCACTACAACTTGAACAAAGCTTGAGGACACTATGCTAAGTGAGATATGCCAGTCATCAAATGCACAGATACATAAATTAGATTGGTTATTGCCACAGGCTGCAGGGACGGGGGCTGGGGAGCTAGTGTTTAATGACCGCAGAGCTTCGGTTTCACAGGATGAAAAGATTCCCGGGAATGGGTAGGGGTGATGGCCGTACAACAATGTGAATGTACTCAACCCCCGTTAAACCGTATACTTAAAAATGGTGAAGGTGGTAAATTGTATTTAATGTTTATTTTACCACAATTTAAATATAATAAAAAGGCCACGGGCTAGAGTTTCTTCATCCCAGTCCTGACTCATTCTTCTTAACAAAGTGAATGTACTCTTAGTGAGTCGGAAGGGTTAACAACTTCAAAGAGGGGGTTTGCATCCCGAAGAAGAGCTGGGACAACTAACAACTACAGTCAGCCCTCTGCATCTGCAGGTTGGGTTTAGCATCTAAGGGTTCAACCAAGCCCAGACCAAAAATATTCAGGAAAAAAATAGGAGAAAGTTCCAAAAAGCAAGACTTGAATTCGCTGTTTGCCAAGCGGTATGCTGAATTCACGTGAATGAAGTGATCTATCTGCAGGCATCCCCTGCTATAGCCTATATACAAATATAGGTCTTATGCAAATACTATGCCATTTGATAAAAGGGATTTGAGCATTTTGGTAGCGCAGGGGCGGGGCGAGGGCGGTGCCTGGGACCAGTTGCCCACAGATTCCAACAGCCAACTGCTCTGTGCTGGGAGGGTCTGTGCATTGGAGAGGCTGGACCACAGAAAATCAGCAAGTGTGTGCAGGTGACCGGTCCTCCCAATTCACAGGCCTAGACCGTCTCACCCAACGGCAGTACCTTTCAGCAAATCGGCAGGTCTTCAATAGCTTCTTGATATGAAATAGCTGCTCCTGGATTTCCTAATGTAAGAAACCAAACGGGATCATCGTAACGTGACCAAAGACGCTGGACATATCTATGTCAACCCGAAATGTTATTTCTAGCCTTGAAATGTTACAACTCTATCAAACAAGCCTCTGAAGTCAAGTCTACACAGCAGGGGTTCGTGACTGAGTCCAGGTTCACAGCCCGGCCAGGATGGACCCAGGGTTTGTGGGCCCTGAAGTTTACACAACATCGAAAGCTTTCTTTAAGAAACATATGTAATCATGCATCTAAGAAGGAGGTCCTGCCATGTGCAATATCAGAGATGATTCTGAAGTGAAATAAGCCAGGCACAGAAAGAAAAACCCTGCAAGACCTCACTTGTGTGTGGAATTTAGAAACGCCAAACACAAAGAAGCAGAGAGTCGCACGCTGGTTCCCAGGGGAAGGGGTGGGGAGGGGGAGGAGGCGGGGAGATGGTGGGAAGGACGCACACAGTTGCAGTCACGTGGAATGAGTAAGTCTAGCGATCCACTGTGCGGCAGGATGACTACAGGTAGCAACACGGTACTGAACGCTGGAAGTGCGGCCCGAGCACACTCGGGTGCTCTCGCCACACGCGCACAAGGTCACTCTGTAAGGACGTGGGTACGTTAACTAATAATCATTTCACTATGTGCATCAAGCCACGCCGTATCCTCCAACATATACCACTTTTATTTTTTAAAAATAATAAATCGAAAAGCTCTGTCTAAATGCCAAACTATGTATAAATACAAAATTTGACGCGCCTTTGCAAGAGCCAGCGCAGGCCGGGGCGGGGCCCTGAGGCGCCGGCCCCGCCTCCTGCTCAGGAGGGTAGGCCCTCCCCTCCCAGCCCCCCAGGAGCAGCTGCTCACCCTGACGGCGTCCAGCTTCTTGGCCTTGGGGCACAGGCTGCGGCTGACGTTGAGCACGTTGAAAAGGGGCTGGTGCCATATGCTGTCCAGCAGCTGCTTGGAGAAGTTGCTGACGTAGTACTTCCTGAAGTCCCACCTGGTGAGGATGCGGCCGGGGATGCAGGACTCGGCGTAGGAGTGGCAGCAGTCGCAGAAGTACTTGCCCAGGTATTCGCAGTACCTCAGCCGCTTCACAAACTCTGCGGAGGATCACGGGGGGTGAGCGCTGAGCCAGCCCGCGCTCCCAGGACGCTGAAGACCCACCCTTGGTGGCCGCGCCTCCAGTCCTGCCCAAGGGCCAGGCTCAGGTGGCTGCGGGGGCCGCACTGCACCTCAGAGCCGCTGGGACCGCCTGGCCGGGGCTGGAGGCCTTAAATCACGGCCATTCACGAGCTTTGCTTTGGGGGACCAGGCGTGGGAAGAGCAGACCCTCCCAAACTACGGCTGGACTTGGAAGATGGGCAGTGTGAGCTGTGGCCTGGCCAAAGGGGTGTGGGGTTGAGGGTCTGGACGGCCGCTGGGAGGCCAGACCCCAGGCCTCTCGCGGGCGGGAAGGCCGAGTAAGGGCGAGGTGGGGCCTCCTCCCACCAGCCCCAGGCCTCGGAAAGCAGCAACTCAGGACTGGGCCCCAGGGCGTCACACAGGCAAAAAGTGTTTTGTAAATTATAAAGTGCTGTACATCCGACAGGGTTCCTGGATAAATATTTATATTTATGTTTATATATATCTAACCATGTTTATATATATCCTTATATTATATAAACATGTGCAAAGGATAGGAACAGGCAATAAATACGTGGAATGAAGAAACCGGTAAAGATGTGAAAAGCACTCCATCTCAGTAACAAGCAAAGCTGTGCATATTTAAAAAAGATGAAATACTTGGTTTTGCCTCAGACAGTCACAGATTTGGAGACTCCAGTGCTGGTGAGGCGAGCGGGGTGGGCACCTACTCCCAGGACCGGCAGGAACCCTAAGGCTGGGCGTCTGGCAGGAATGCTAACCAGCACACGCGCAGACACGGAACGGCGCTCTTACAGCGCATTTATAAGGAAGGCGGAGCGATCTAAATATCCATGGAGAAGCGGCTGGTTCAATGTGGCTGGAGTGCTCCACAGTGAAATGCCAGGAAAGTACCTGGAAGAGCACAGGCCGCGAACATGCAGTGACAGGTGTGTATCACGTGATCTCGATTTTGTTTTTAAAAACATACATGCACAGTTCAAAAGGATCCCCAACAAAAAGTCCATAGCGAATAGTTACGGAGGGTGGGGGAAAGGGTATTTTGCTTTTTGCACTTTTTAATTGGCTAAAATGAACATGCATTGCTTTGGGAAACACCCCCGCAATAAAATAGATTGACAAGAAAGAGGTAGAGAGACCAAAGCAGCAAATACCTGGGTACCCATCACCCAGCTTAAGAAAGGAAACAGCGATTCCGTTATGTCTCCTGCAGGTTCCCGCAGATTCTAAATACAGTTTCCCAATGAGGACTTTATAAAAATAAACAAGGTCTGAGTGACCACAGAAGCAGAGCTTTGTTGAACATTTAGCCTGCGTCACGCACCTGTTAAATGTCTCATGGACGCCTGTACCGTTCGGTGCTTGAACCTCTGTGAGGTCAGGACTATCACTGACCGCCCCCCCGCCCCGCCCCCGTCCACTGATGAAAGCACAAGACAGGGAACTTAAGCCTAAGCCGCAGGCCAGAGACACAAACGGGAAGCAGGGGAGCAGGGGTCCAGCCTGAGTCTGGACAGGGAGGCTCCGGGTTTTAAGCCTTGTAGCCCACTCGCCCTCTGCCGCACTCCCGGGATGGGAAGGGGGAGGAGCTAACGTCTGCACTTGAGCAAACTATCCTCGGACCCAGGTCACACACACAGCTGACTTTTAAATACAAACAAAGAAGCGCAATGGATTTCCTATTATCTGTGGTAGTTACTGTTCTGTAAAGTTGCCAGGAACACAGAATTAGTGAACACGGAAACATCGCTCTGAGGGGGAGGTACAGGGTTAGGTTCCTGTGAGTCTCTGGCAAAAACACTTTCATCAACTGACCAGTACATAACCTTTTTTATGTGTTTTTTGTTTGAAGACGCATTATCCGATACATTTTGCTGGTTCGTATCATTGGGTTCGGGCCAACAACCTGGTAACGCAGGGCCCAAAGGAAGCTTGCCTAGTGTGTCGATTTTCTGGGTAAGGATCACCAGCCGTCTGGTGCTCAGAAACACTAGGCAGAACTTTGGCCATGTGCTTGGGGCGTTTTAAATAACAAAGGCATCAACAGAGAGCATGAAAGTGTTCTTTAAAAGGAACTCAGTGGACTGCGAAGAGGACATGTTTACTGTTTGAGTTACAACAAGAAGGCCGAGCATCGCTTTGTTCAGCTTCAGCAGGGACTTGTGGGTGCAGGCGAATTCAAATTCAGGCCGCTCACATTGCTCGGTGTTTTGTGCATGTCTGGGAATGACTGAAAACACGGTAAGTATTGATTTTGGAGTTACAAATGCATCTTAGGGAGCAGGCAGACTGACAGGTGTGGAATTCATGAATAAGGAGGGTTTGCTGTGAGCATAGACAGACTACACACACTATTATCGAACCCTTAATTGGGCGCAGTCTCTCTAGGGTTGACAAGTTATTTGTTAAGAACCAAATAATTATGTCTGAGTTCTCAAATTTGAAACTTTGAAAAGTCTACGGTATTGCATCCTTTTTCCCACCCTGGGTCAAGATCTCTGTTGTAGCCGATAATGAGTATTATTTTGCTTAATGTTAGGGCTTCGATGCACTTCACATTACATGAGCAAAAAGAGAGGTATACCCCTGCTTGTGCGCGCTACATTTCTGATCAAACTTGGCAAGATGGCAAGAGAAAGGAAGACAGAAAGGGCCTATAAACATTTCAATAACCAGCCACTCATTCCATCAAATTTCATCAAATATGTACTAAGCATTATATTATTAATACAGAATAAATTAAGTCTATCTCTTCTGGTTTCCTCAGTCCTTTAATTAAAACGGAACAAATAAAGCACCCTAAACCAGCGTTTCTTGACCAGGAGTGATTTTTTTTTTTTATGCTAAGGGACATTTGGAAATTGTCTAGAGACGTTTTTGATTGAAAGGCTGCTAGCGGCTTCTAGTGAAAGCTGATAAATATCATACAGTGCACTGCACAACAGCCCCTACATAAGAAATAAAACTAAGGCTGAGAAACCTGGCTCTAAACCACAATTGTTTTCCTCTTAGGAAAAGTCAACATCATAGGAAAAAAATAGGGGCAAAAATTCTAGAACACTGCGGTCCCACAGAACCTGGTGAAGACAGAAATATTCTCCTCCTACGCTATCCAGTGTAGTAGCTACTAGCCACGTGTGGCTGTGGAGCACTTGAAACATAGCTAGGGTCACCAAAGAACTGGATTTCTAATTTAAATTAATTTCAATTTAATTTTAAGCAGCCACAGGGGTTAGTGGCTACCATCCTGGATAGGGCAGTTCTAGAATAAAGCTGACTAAAGAGAAATACTAGCTAAATACAATGGATGAAACTTGGTTGAGACTTGGATAGAAAAATCAGCTATAAATGACATCTTAAGGGCGACAGTGAATATGGGCTAGTATTAAGCACTATTAGAGAAGTATTATCTTCTTTGGTGTGACAACTGTTCATAATCTTTATTGTTAGAACATGCTTAAGTATTAAGTATTATGTTATCTGCTGCTGAAGTGTGTTATCACGTTTCAAACATCTCTGTGTGTATGAGGTTGTCATGCCAGCTAAATTCAAAGGTGGAATTCTGGACTGGACCCTAGAACAGGTAAAGGTCATTAACGACATCTGGACAAAGTCTGTCGTTACGTGACAGGGTTGCAACAGTGGTTATTCTCAGATTTCATAATTACACTATGATTATTACGTTAACATAGGGAAGTTGAGTAAAGGGTATACGGGATGCCTGTACTAATTTTGCAACTCTTCTGTGAGTCTAAAATTATCTCAAAACAAAAAGTTTTAAAAAAATTATCGTAAGCACTACAGGGATTTCACAGGAAAAGCCCAAAATCCTTTGCACCGTTGACAATGCCTCTAGAGTCTGCACGCCACCTGCCGCTGCAGCATCTCCTCTTGTTCTTACCCTCCAGTGGCACGGATTTCCTTTGCCACGGCCCTTGGCACCTGTTGACTCCGTCTCCGCCCCGTCCTCCCTTCTTGCTCTTCTGGGGTTAATCACCTCCTTACAGAACTTCTCACTCCACCACCACCCACCCACGCCCAGCCCAGATTAATTTCCCTCGCCGTGGATCCCGAACGCTCTTGACTTTCTGTTTCATTGTGTGCACTGCTCCTGACACTTGGCTGATGACTGCGTCTTCCTGTAAGCGGCCTCCATGGGGAGGGACCACGGGTATAGTATCAACAGTGCAGGCATTCACGTCCATATTTGAATAAAGTTAGGGAAGTACTTGGTAGGTTGGTGGAATCTGAGTCCTGTGTTCATAGTTTCTGACTCGGTATTTACTGAGGCACCAGAATACAGTGGACCGAAGAGATAGGGTCCCTATTAGACTGGGAAGATGAGTTATTTAACTAAAATTAGTTAGAACAATGTTGCATGGCAGGCATTATCATTCAACATGGTAGAAGGAATCCCACATAGATTTCGGCCTTCTATTTTCCATTCTCAAGGTCCTCAAAGTCGCTTTCCTTCCAAGACTGCTTAGCAAAGGTCCAGGGCACCCTTTTCCACAAAGCCCCGCTTCCCTATCTTCCTCAGGCGAGACCTGTGGACACCCTCACCTCAGGCCAAGTGATTCCTGGCCTCAAGCGGGTGACCTGTGTTTCTGGCTTGGGGCAGCCTGAGTTTCGGGTCTCAGCCCGCCCAGGAATGATCCCCTCAGGCCCTTTGCAACCCCCCGTGAAGGAGCTTGGCTAGCTCCTTGGTAAGCTGTTCAATCCTTCAACACATTTATCTTTTGGGGACCAGCTGCGTGCCAGGCACCCTTGTTCGGAGTGGGGGCGAAAGCAACGAGTAAAACAGACAACACGTCTGTCCTTGAGGAACTTAGACTCTAATGGGGGAGAAAGACAATAATGACAAATGTCAGTAAAACCTGGAAGCGTGTTTTAGGGGGACAAGTGCTAGAATGAGACCGAAGCAGGAAGGGTAAGTGTGACGCATGCCCGTGTGTGTTGGTGGCAAGGCGAGCTCTGTCAGCGGGGCAGCCGGGGAAAACGTCACGGCCTCTGGGCAAAGATGGGAAGGAAGGAAGGAAAGCTGCCGTAGGGGTGGCTGGCGTTCCAAGTCAGGAGTGAGCCTGCCACCTTCGGGGGCCAGCAGGGAGGCCTTGTGGCCGGGGCTGAGCACCAGGTGAGGAGGGACCGAGATGAGTCTGACAGGCCAGTCTCATCGCCCTGGCGGTCCCAGCGGCCACGTTAGGAAGCTCTCACACTGACGGGTCCTTAAAGGCCTCTCCCGCACACTCCGCGCCCTGCCCACCTCTGCTAGTCTCTGCCCTGCCCCCGTATAGTTAGCAGGGGGTCCCTTTCCATACTTACTAGGTTCTACTGAAGTTCCACAGCCAGCGCAGAAAAAATTCTGGGCCGCGACCACGAGATCCCTCCTGGGTACCGAAAACAAAAACAGCTGTGTTTCAGAGAAGGCCAGTGGAGGAGCATAGTTCACTGAGTAGAAAAGGAAATCGACATCAAGACACTTTCCTTGGCGTGGGCCCTCAATTTTGTCATCTGTCACTTGTGAAAGGAATAGAATCGGTCAATTGAGTTTTCTAGTTGAACCATCCCTTTGTCTTTTTAGAGCCCCTGCTACCTCCAAAGCGGAAGTCAGCTTCACACCGAACACTCCCACCAGGAGCTCCGGAGACTCCCCGCTGCGCATGCGCAGGGGTTCTCGCTCCAGGGAGCGCGGGGGACGGGCAATGCAGGGGCACGGCTCAGGCAGACCGTCACCAGGCCGTGATGTACTAGGGAAGTTCACGGACGGTCCAAAGAAATGCAGATAAATGGGAGATGATGTAAGACAAAACCATCCAACATTTCTGGGGAGAGGCCATCTCGTGAAGTGTTTTCTATTCAATTGTTGATGCCATGATTTCACATATGATTCTGAAATATGGAATAAATTTTACAATTTTATTATAGTGTAGGGCCATCAAAAAGGGTCATGGTAACAACATGCAGAACCCTACCCATGTGCCTTTTAGCGACAGGAGCGCTCCTCAAGATTAAGTTTCCTTCCAAAAATATTATTCAGTGATTTTAATTTCCCATTGCACAGAAAAATAGAAGAGACTGGTCTTTTAACGTGACCATATATGATTTTTCAGGTTCAATATTAGCCACTTGAAAAATCCCCTTTGAGCCTATTTCAGTTGCTAGGCAATGTTCATAATTAGGACCGATAGTTAAAGTCTCAACTTTCCAAAACTTACAGAGCCCTCCAAAAGCCCATGGTAAACAGGGCGCCAAGAAAGCTAACTCAGAAAAAACACCCAACTTACTTGTTCCTAAAACAAAATTGTTTTTGTCCTTTAGTGTATTATTATTTTTCACCTACTTCCACAGAGTCAGGGGGGAAACTGAGATGGTTTAGGGCTTAGGTTCGGGGACTAAAACAAATACCAGGTGGCAATGAAGCCAAGTGAAGGCCAAGGATCGAGAAGGCGGGCCAAATAAGCTGACGCCAAGAACGCCGCCACCCCTCCCCCACGCCCTACTCAGAAACACTGAGGTAGCTGGTTTGGTCTCCCTCCTCACCACCTTCTCTCTTGCAGGTGTCGAAACAACGGGCCCACATTCACCGGGGATCAAGATTTGGCTGTTCTAGGGCCTCCTGAGTGGGGAGTCCGCCCTCTTGCCCCCCAACACAGGTGGGCACATAGTTACCAGGCAACTCAGCTGGAAAATGAAACCACGCCCCCAAAAGCCTGCCTTTTTCCCTAAACCGGCTTTGTCCCCGGCTTATAAAAGCAGCCGAGCGGAGCCAGCTCACGGGGCCTTCCGTTCCTCTGGGCTGCCTCCCTGCCCTGGAGCGTAAGCTTAATAAAATCCGTCTGGCATTTCTCTGGGGTTTCCTCTCCATCTTTGTCTTGGGGACCCCAAGAGCCCAACCTGGGTAACAGAACTATCACAACAGGTTTAACTGGATCGGAAGCCCAAACAGCGGCCCAGACTCACTTGGGTGGCGGGTGGACCTTAAAGATGACTTGAAATCGCGGGGGTGCCCAGTCTTCGGTCCCGCTGATCCTCGGCGTCAGTTTCAGGTCCTCTGCGAAATCCACGCTGGATTCAAAGTCTTCTCCGACATGCTCTTCATTCACAACCTGCATGACACAGGAGAGGGCGTAGGAGCGACATAAGCCTTTTTCCGGAACTGAAAGAAAAAGAGCGCTCAGATGCATTTCCCACATTAAAATGTACCATGAACAGTCAAAACTGCTTCCAACGGAAGGAAGGGAGGGGCAGAAGCCCTCCAGGCAGCCAAAGCCACCTGCGGAAAAGTTGCTTAAAACACCACCCGGCTGGGGCCGCTTTTCTTCCTTTCCTCGTTCTTTTACCTACTTCCTTTGTTTCCAGACTTCAGGTGACGGCAAGCAGGCCACGGTGGCCTGGAATGCTTTATGGGGACAGAGGCCAGGCCCCTTTTCTTCATCAGGCTGGCAGGCGCTGTGAATCCGAACCCCGGTGGCTGGCGGACTGGCCCGGAACCAGCTCTTTGAAAACCGTTCCCCTGCTTGGCTCCCCTCAGAACCAGGAAACTGTCCTATTATCATTTAAAATCCACGCTCCTCAAATTAGTCTTCTGTGTCCTCCATAATCGGGCCACCAGCCTTCAAGCCTCATATCCCAGGAAGATCAACACCGCCCCCCCCCCCGCCCCCAGTCACACAAACACACGCTCTCCAACCACAGCACCTCACGCCTGCATGGCACTTGCTCCCCTGGCCTTTTCACCTCCAGAGTGCTTTCTGCCGACGTCTATTTTATTCATTCATTCATTTATATTAAATTTATTGGGGTAAGGGGGTCTATTTCTATGTTAGCCTTTGCACCAAGTTCTCCATCCCCCATGAGTGGCGCATTGTCAAAAGGCACAGTTCGACCAGGAACCAGCCCGGCCTTCCGAGCGAGGCAGCCCGGCGCTGGCCGGGGGCTCCGTGGGCTGGAGCGCCATCCGGTGCACCCACAGCAGGTCGCGCGGTCTGGCTCCTGGTCAGGGCACATGCCGGGGTTGCGGGTTCAGTCTCCCTAGTTGGGGTGCATACAGGAGGCAACCTGATCGATGTTTCTCTCGGTCTCTCTGGGTCTCTGTGTGTGTGTCTCTCTCTCAAATCAATAAACATATCCTCAGGTGAGGATTAAAAACATTAGGCAGCCTGAGGCATGACCTCTAGGGTCTGGAACTAGCCCCTTAAAATAAAAATGACAATAGCTTCTACCTCATAGGATACATGTGAGGATTAAAGTGTGAATTGCTGAGCATAGTCCCTGGTGCATAATAAATACTCGATGAATTTCAGATTCATCCACCCCTTCTTTTGAGTCCTGCCCCAACACCTTGGGACTATAAAGGAAACACATACGTATCTGATGTGAATCACAGGCAAAATGCGAATTCAGGAACTTTCCATTCAAAGTCAGCTTCCTCCGGTACTTACTATCGAGCCGGCTGCATTCAGGGACAGGGCCAGCTGACGATTAATGTCTGACAACACCCAGCACCTCCGGAACACTTGGTACAGTCCTTTGGCTATTAGCTCAGCCGAATTAAAGTTGGGCTCGTACATTACACTGAAATGTAAGCGATGCCAAAAAAAAAGAAAATTTTTTAAACCTATATTCATGAGGAGTATAAGGGTCTTCTTCAGGTTTTCGACCCTCCTTCCCTCTCCAAAAACTCAGAGGAGGCATCGTATAAGAGATCAGCACCAACCACGGTACCGAGGGGGGCCTTTCCTCCTCACCACGATCCCCCCACGCTCCACAGAGCAGCTTTGTTTGCTGGGGGCACTGCGACTGAGAGGCACAGTGAAGAGAGAGCTGGATGTAGCATCAGGAGACGCGTTCAGACGCTTCCTCTCTCCCTTAACAGCGCTGGGTCGGGACACACACCTGCCTAACCCTCAGCTTCTCCACCCATAGAACAGGGTTCTGAAAAACCCCAGACAGCCTATCCATGAGGGTTAAATAAGAGCATATACCAGTGTCTCCTAAACACTATAAAAAGACTGTAGAAACCTGAGTGGTGATGGCTTCGTTTCTACATAACAGCCCCTGACATAGGAACCGGCTGAACTTGGCCCGAGAGGTTCCCGGAGGCCCGGCCTCCAGGGCATCTCAGAGGCGGTGGCCCGGGGGTCTGCGTGCAGCTGGACACAAGAGAGAGACGATACCTCGGAGAGGAGGGGCGGGAACATCCGCGGGTTTCGGCGGGGTCGCTAAACTCTGCAAGTCCTGTGGGGAAACCAGAGTAAGGGCCGGCGGGTCTGTGAGCCTGTTTCGCTTCATCACAGTCAGTTGTCTAGGAAGAACGCACCCACAGCTCCCCGCATTTCAGGAAGAACCGATTATTCAGCACCTCCGTACGTGAGGGCCTTGGGGGTTTCTCTGAGGAGAGTGCAGCGAGTAACCCAACGTGGGATTTCAAAATACACTCCTCTGAAATTTTGCCAACATATACTTGAGGCCGAACAGACAGCAGACCCTGATAGGTGTCTGCTTTTCAGGCCGTTCTGCAAGTGAGATGAGCCATTCACTGTCCAGACATTTGAAACAAAAGGGACTTAAAAAGAATTTTTTTTTCCCACATCAGGGACATCATCCGATTTGGGGAGACGTTTCTCGGGATGCCGCTGTCTTGTGGTATTGCTTGTGGTGCGCATTGACAAGTAGGGGGAGGGCATGGGGGGTAGGTCTCTAGTCCTATCCGAGGCGTTTCGGAATCTTACCAAAGTCATCAAAGTCACGTCTGCAGGTCTCCCGCTCCGCATCGCAGGGAGCAGGCGCCTTCGCCACGGGGCTGACCTGCAACACAGCGCAGCCTAGAGGGAAGGAAAGGGAGGTGTGACCAACAGGAAGAAAGGGTACTACCTGCCACCCCCAACCACGTAGACACTAGGAATAAAAAGGACTGAGAGGTTGCTTTAAAAAGAATTGAAAAGTTCAGCCCCAAGAGTTTTTGAAAAAGGCGAGGAGTTATTTTTTGTTGTTCTTCCATTGCTATGAGTTTATAATTCTTATAAAACTGTACTCACTTGAATAAACATAGAAATGAATACGGCTGTTGGCCCTGGCTGGGTAGCTCCGTTGGTTAGAGCATTGTGCCCATTTGCCAAGGTTGCAGGTTCGATCCCTGGTCGGGGCACAGTCATTAAATAAAAAAAAGAAACGAATACAGTTGTTTAGGGACGTGGTGTAGCCTGTAGCAGAGCGGTGGCGTGAGTCCCCCTGGTGGTAGGCTGGCTGGTTGAACAGTGCATGGCCCCACCCGAGCCCAGGGACGACAGACAAGCCACTCCTCAGCTGGGCTTCCTCATGGGTAAGCGGGGCCTATTTCACCTGCTCCTGTGTTTCTCCCACACTTTTGACCGTGATCCAAAGGGATGTACAATTTGCATGGGAACTTACTGTAAGTGCAAACATACATTCAACTGTTAAAAAAAGCTCCAGGGAGCATTCATTGCTCACCCTTACCAAGCAGGTGCATACTGATATTTTCTTTCTTTCTTTTTCTTTTTTTTAATTTAATGCTCTCATGACCAACCTGCAAATTAAAGACTGCTGACCTACCTTACAGAGTAGCGCCTATCACTGAAAATGTCACACGAGTGATACTCAATAAAAGATCAATATTTCACTTGGGTGGTAGAAAGAGTTTTACATTTCTTGAACATATTCATATTTTTCAAAATCGCATCTAAACATCAGTACCCATTCAACTATCCAACAAATATTTATAAAATAGCTATTTTGGGCAAGGCACTATGCTGAAAGCACGTACTAGGAAGATGGATTCTCATCAATCAAAGAATTTTAAATCTCAGGAGGCACTGAGACACTGACGACAAGACACAGCGGCGCGCCACAGGCCTCATGAAGCTCAGAGGCAGAGCTGCCTGCACCCCGCACAACTGTGGGGAGCCAGGCTCCTAGACGGTCGGGGAGCACTCTTGAGCGCAACGTAGGGTCCTCTCCCATGACTGGCGCCCCTCCCCTCTGATGGAAATCAGGGCACAAGCCACAGTGCTGGCGCCAGGAAACGGCTTTTGGAGGACGGGAATGATGAAGGAACTGAGACGTGTCCCAGCCCAAGTCCAGGGAGGGAAGCAGGAGCTCGCGAGAAACGCCTGCCTGCCCGCAGAACGGCTGGGCTCGCTGAAGCCCACAGCGCAATGTCGGCAAATGGCAGGTGGTGCCTGCTGGCGAGGTAGGGAGAAGCTGGGTCCCACAAGGCTAAAAACCCCAGGATTAAATGGGGGACCAATCCAGCAGGCCGTGCAGAGGACTGGAAGGTGTGTTTCGGAAAGACAGGCGTGTGTAGGGTTTAAGATGAGGGGACTGAGGTTGGAAGCAAAGAGTGACGATTCAAAGCAGCAGACACACATGGAGGACGTGAGTGCAGTTCTCACAGGACATCGGGCCAGAAGGCTGCTCGTGGTCCGGGTCAAAGGCAGGAATAGGGCACGCATGCGGGGGATGCCACCCTTCCTGTAGAAGTGGGGATGGATTTGCCTGCTAACTAGAAGCAGAGGCACAAGGAAGCAGAGAGAGTCGGAAGCAGAGCGCAGCATGTTGCAATGTGAGCCAGCAGCCTCTCCTCCCCACGGGGGGCTTCCGGGGGAATGATGGAGCGGAGCGCGTTCCCTGTCCTGCGCCTCAACAACCACACGGCCAGCCGCCCAGCTGTGGACCCCTGACCAAAGCAGGCCCCAGCCGGCGCTCTTCCTGGTGGCCTGGACTGGGGGTCCGGCAAGACGAGGTTGGGCTGCAAGGCCCGGGCAGAGCAGGCAGGGAAGCGGCAGGTGAAAGCAGGCGCTCGGGTGGGCGCGGGCAGAGAAGGAGAAGGGAGCAATGGCACGCAGGTGAGTGACTGACGCGAGGCCACAGAGCCCAGGACAGAGCCCAGGACAGAGCCGGAGCTGTCCCTGCACCGGTCAGTTTTGTGTTTTCCCACCACTGGGGTTCAACGAGGATGCACTATACGCTTCCTTAAAAAGTCCCTTGTAATGTGAGGCAGGCGGTGCATTCAACAACAGTTTATTATACACCTGTTTTATGCCGGGCATTGTGCTAGGTACCTACCACCGGGACTGAGCTCCTCCCTCCTGAAATAGTTTTAAGTTTTTTATTTTATCTTACTATTACATTTCTGTTGTTGTTTCAGGAAGCGGGGGGCGGGAACGAGGGAGATGACCAGTTCAGACGTGTGGAGTTGGAGACCCCGGAGCCGCCCAGGCGGCCGTGGTCCACGGGGCCAGGCCACGAGGAGCCAGCACTGAGGTGGGGAGGTGCAGGGCTGAAAGCACGGCCTCTGACGGAGAGACGCCATCAGACAGGGAACGATGGGAACAGGCTGTAGGGGATAAAATCCCCGGGGAGCGATACTGGAAAAGGGGAATCCGGGGCTGAGGCAGGACTCACAGGTAGGAAATAAGAAACTGACGAGCCCTATCTTCAGCTCTCAGGGTGGGCACGCCCTGTTCCCCCACACCAGGATGGACCCCTGAAGCCCCTTCTGCCCTGCGCCCCACCGCTGTGTGCCGGGCCTGCCTGCCACCCGGGGATCCCCAAGGCTTCCGGGCTCCCTTGGCCTGTGCACCGGCGGGGAATGAGCCCACATGTCGCCTGCTGGTGCCCAGCACCCAGCCCCCCACAGGCTCCTCGTGTGTGGCACGAATGAGAGAGAACGGCTTGGAAAAGGAGGAAGAGCTAAGCAAACGCATGCGACAGAAAACAAAGGAGGAGGGGCAATGCCAGCCACTGCCAAAAGGAAATGCAGGGTGAAGTCCAAGGCGGGGAAAAAAACATCCATTTAGCTACTGAGTGGAGCATGCCAGCCAACCCCAAGCCCAGTGGCAGGAACGGCGAGGATGGTATAGAGGTCACTCAAGACGTTTTGGACAAAGGGTTTGAAGACGTACTTCCAGATGCGACCAAGGAGATGGGTGGAGAACACAGCCTAAAGCTGCCCCCGACTTGCCCACTTGCCTTCGTAGCCGCTGTCCGAGGAAGCGGAAGACCCCGACTCCTGCTCCCTGTGGGAACAGAAGGTCCCTTCGGAGTCGCCGCGATCATTCCCAGGCGACCGGCCGGCCTCGTCTAGGCTGCAGGTCTCCGCGTGCTGCCCACTCAGGAGGTCCCACTTCACCGTCTCCATGGCGGAGATGATCATGTCGGCGGCGTGGAAGTGCGCGTTTTCCTATGGGACCAAAGCATCAGTTAAAACACAAGCCTCCTCAGCCGCTTCCCGTCGAGGTGTCTGAGGTTCAGAACTCAAGGAGCTGGATTTAAGGGGGGTTAAGGCGTGGAAATAGAAATGTTCCTCTAACTGAATTACCATTGGTCACTGAATGAAGCATAACCCACATCTTCTGGAGACATAAAGTTCGGCCCATCAACAGACAACCCGTTTTGAATTCCCGGTGGGATACAACCCCAGGCTGGAGGCGGCCCAGGGGCTGACCTCACTCAGGGACCGCGGCAGCCTTTCCAGGGGGGCGCAGGCTCCGCCTCAGACCCGTCTCAGCTGGGGCCCCCGCAGCCCCTACCCTCTCCCTGTCAAACGCTGGGGCCAAGCCTCCCTGCCTTGCCTTACCCAGTGAAACTGCTGAATTTAAACCACGGTCACGCTATCTAAAGCGTTCACATGCTTTGTGGGGAGATAAAGAGAAAAGAAAAAGAAGATGGACTCACCTTTTCTATATCCGCAGGGAGTACTAATGCTTCTGGAGAGAAGCAGTTGAAGGAACCGCTTCTCCCACTGACCGGAACAGCACCTGCCAACACAGCAAGCCATTAAAAACGGAGGAAAAGAGGCCCAAAGATGACCTAAGAAGACAAAACACTTCTAGGGAGTGGCTTTTCAATGTTGCTTGTGGTCCTTTTTAATGAGCGCAATTCTAGGGTAAGTAGGATGACAGGGGAAGGGCCCTTCTGGTGGCAGGGCTGGCAGACATCGCCGTAATGGCCGTCATTTCTATGAGCGGCTCTTGGAACGACAGGGGAGACACAGAAGAGCCGCTGGATTGGAGGAGACCAGGGAGGCGAAGAGGCAGAGAGGGAGGAGGGGCAGGGAAATCACCTAAAGGAGACGGAGGGTCATGAGAATTACGGAGTCAGTTCTCCACCTCATTGCCATTGGCCCGAAACTTCCTTTTGGCAGAAACAAGGCATCTGACACATGTCCGCGTTGCTTCTCTGAAATGTTCTTCCTCTGTTAAGCCACTCGCTTACTGGCAGGGAGCACCACCAAAACATTAGCGCTTTCTGTCATGTGATGCCTTATTGCAGCACTTCAGGGAGGGCATCTCTGTGAGAGCCCAGACCGGGGCCGTCCCAATCCGCTAAATGGGAACAAAATGCTACGGATGTCGTGACGACTATACAGCACTGGAGGTGATAAACAGAGAGGCCAGCGGGACTCCTCAAATCCCCCGCCTCATCTCCAAGAATGCAGCGGTTCCACCAAAAACTTAGGACCTCTTGGCTTCAGAAGCCTTCGGGCGTGGGCCCACTTCTGAAAAGGATGGCTAAGGGGTACATGGTGTAGGGGCCGAGATCCAGATGGCACCTGTTCCACCTGCCCGGTTCTCCCGCTGCGGTGAGAGCGCGGTGACAGACATGAACAAAGCTTCACTTGTGAAACCAGGCGGCTGGCTGGATTTGGCCTGGACATGGTTTTCGGACCCTGAATACCTAGAGAAGAGCGCGGAGCTGAATCAGACAGCGTGGGTCCCAGGCCCAGTTCTCCGTGCCACAGCCGTGCGCCTGCATTAAAGTCTCCTCACCCCTTACCCTGGGGCGGGGGGTGGGGGGGCATCTGTTAGGTTAAAGGAGGCAAAGGATGTGAAAGTGCTTTGTCAGCGTGTAGATGCGAGGCAGACACTGGACGGCTGGCTTGCTTCTGACAGCCTCGCAAACCGCCCGCCCCGCCGCTGACTTGGTTCTTCCTGCCTTGATCCAGGAAAGGAAACCCCGCCGCCACCACTGGGGAAGGAGCTGCTGCGGGCGCAGGAGAGTCCCGCGCCCTGGTGGCCGAAGCCTGTTGTTCCCACAGCTGCCCGATACTCAAGAGAGAAAGAACCAGGTGACTCAGCACTTTTTTTTTAATCCCACGGAATGAACCCCTTTACCAAGTTGAAGAGATGTTCCCAAAAGACGGAGTGGCTTTTTAAAGGCTCTCGACGAGGTTGCTGGGGTTGCTGTCTTTGGACCACAAGGGGCAGGGCTACCTGCTTGCTATACACAGGCAAAGCTACAGGGTCATTGTGACTTGCAGAGCCACTTCTTGCGCAGTGGGACAACAGAGGATTTGGGGCAGGGGCGTCCTTGGCCTGAAGGTCATCTTCTGTCATTGTTACTCCTCACGGGGGCCGTGGTTTGTGGCAGGGACTAGGGGGACAAGCAGGACTATCCTTTTTCTCCACGTTCCCCTCCTTCTCCCCTGCGAGACAACCTAACAGGAGACTCATCTCTTACTTAGCAACCACTAAGTTTGCAAATTGTTCTTTTCCTGAGAGCTGTCGCAGCAGATGAGCAAAAAGATAGAAAACAGGCTTATCATCTGAGTGTGTGGTTTTGCTCCAACAGGGATCTTATCTCAGTCCACTGGAAATTTCCTCTTCTTAAATGATGAGTAATAAAAGACTACCATCATCTTTGACTTTGCCAAGTGTCCAATAGAACAAAAAAGCCCCATAGTTTAGCAAAAGGGGAAACCGGTCCCTGCTAGTGAGAAACAAATATTCTAATGTCTACAGGCATATGTACATACGAACTCCCAGGCACAGAGGAGGGTGAGCAGCTTTGGAAGTTGTTTTGACAGAGAGAACTTCATTGACTATTTGAACTAGGGCTCTAACAGAAATGCAATTTAATGCAAAGCGTGAACATAGCACAGTAGGTATTGAAAAACCAAAGTAAGCATGCTATGAATTGTAACAAGAACACGGGCTAATCTGTTGGCTCTCCACTGGTCTTTGCATGGATTATCTCCTTTTAGGAATTTTCAGTATTTCAGGAAGATGTGCAGAGCAATGGAAGCCCTTGATTTAATAAAAATAAATTTTAAAAAAGGTTTCGTGGAGCCTTCGGGGACTTGCAGTTGCTGTTTTTACATCTTACTCTTTTCTACTCACACTCTGGCCAGGGAACTGTAACAGGGGAGGTGAGTTCAGCTGCTATAAGCACGGCTGTGCCGCGGAACCCGCTGTCTGGATGCCCCCTCTGCCAGCACCGTGGATTGAGAGTGCTTCCGGGGCTCCCCCTTGCAGACAGCTTAGACGCCGGAAGTTCCTGAAGGCACACATCCGCTCAAAGGTGGCAGGTGGCACCGATTATCAACTAAGTTGAGCTAAGGTGACATTTCCCTGCAATGGGAGGGAAAAGGAAATGCTTGGTGACACCCGCTGTCACAGCCCAAGTGGTGGGCCAACAGCAGTGTAAGGTGATGAGCTCAAGCACCGGCTTCCAGTCAAAGTGGGGACCCATGGCCCCTTCTTCTCATGAGGAAGACAGCGAGATGGGCGTTTGACCTTTAGACCAAGGCAAAGCGTGTGTGTGAACGGACAGGGATGAGGGACACCCCGGACCAGCATTACCTTCATCGGTGGGGGCTCTCAGGCGAGGAGGCTCGAGACAAGCGCCGTCAGCCTCAGGCCGCGGGGGAGCAGCCGGTCTCTTGGAGCCTGGGCACAGAGACACCCATGGACAGCGTCCTGGGAGCACGGCTGGCTCTTGCGCTGAGATACAAGCAGATCCACTGCCCTGTTCGCCCGGGCCGCCCACGGAGCCCACGGCGTCCTTCCACGGTGATGTGCCCCTCGCGGAGTTCTCAAGCGGCCAAGCGGATGTGCCCAAGGGAGAGGCAGCACCCCTCACAGAGCGGCTGCTGCTGTTCCCCGCTGTTGGCACCTGGCGGGGCACACCCTGCAGCTGCACACTCTGGGGGTTAATCCAGGCAGCCCCGTGCCTTGTGAACTTGACGTCGGGTTGGCAAGGGGGGTCGTCAGTGTCCAGGCGGCCGGGGGACCCATCAATGTCACCAGAGTCATTGCTGACCCCTTCCAAGGGAGAATCCTGCCGGCCGGAAGACTGTGACACCATCTTCCCCGGGCTCAGGGCAGGGGAGAGTCCCGATGTCCTAGCAGATCAGGGCCTTGAACTCACCACGTGGACAGCAGGGGGGGCCGGAGAGCTTATCTGCAGTGAACAAGAAACATTCAAGGTCAGTGAGGGCTCCTTCATATTTTTAACTTCAAATCCCTTTGAGGATAAAAAAATAAAATTTAAAAAAGTTTGTACTTCACCCTAAACAACACAGTAAATTCAGTTGGGTTTATAAGTAAAATAAAATCAGTCATAAGTAGCAGCAAACATAGAGGGTAAGAAGGGGTGTTCAAAGCATAAAAATAATAGATTGTTTTTATTATAAGAATGAAATCGCGTAAGGATACTATTGATAAAACAGATAAAAATGCAAAACATCAATACACTATTCCAATAAAATTAAATGTCAAACCCAAATGGGAATATTATCTAAAAGTAAAGACACATTTTCACAGTTTATTTTTATGTAGTTTGTGTTTGTATTTCAACAACGTAGACAACAGCATGTGAGACTAAGGACAAGCAATACCACTAAAAACATTGTTTCAGGTAACTTCTGTTAGCTTATAATACTTATTTATATTATCATAGCCATATTATGAGTAGCTGATAATATCTAAAGACCACAGCGTAAATCTGGAATCTAAAAAAAAAAACAAACAAACCGGTCGGCTCACGTTGAGCTCAGTTTTTAGCTTCTGTCAGTGTCAGGGGCGGCAGAGACGGGGCGCTCCCTGGCCGCTGTAGTTACAGGCGCACACAGTGACTTTCTCCTGTTCTCCCCCGTCCCGGACATTGGGAAGCTCCGCGCAACCATCCGCAGCAGAAGCAAGGTCAGAAAGGGGGAGCTGCAGGCAGAAGCAGGCGGTAGGCGAGCTTAGCCTCAATAAAGGGTGGGGGTCAAGGGTGGGGGTGGGCGTGAGAGTCTGGAGTCAGTTCTGGGGCTTTCAGAGCCGTCGTTATACAGGTAGACGGTTCCCACGAGATCTGTCTCTGACTTCCCCTTGAGCGCCGGGCTAGCATAACTCACTGCCTCCTCAACATGTGTCCAGTGGGCATCACAGCCTGACACATCCAAATCAGACACTGATTCCCCCAGACCTGTTCCTCCCTCAGCAAACGCACTTTCCAACAGCGGAAGCTACAAAACCCGGGAGTCACCTGTGATCCTACCTTTAGGCTATTAGCAAGTTTATATGTATAGCTGTACCACCCTATTCTAAGCCACCGTCTTTTCCCACCTGGACCTCCTGCTATTTTCCCAGTGAGTCTCCCTGCTTCCACTCTTGTCTATTTACAATCAAAAGGTGTTTGGAGAGAATTTTTATAAACTTAAATCACATTCTTCTAATTGACGTTGCCCCCCTTCAAAAAAAAAAAAAAAAAGGAAAAAAGAAAAGAAAAGAAAAAAAAAGCTGCCCATCAAATCTGGAACAAAATCCCAAATTCTTACCTTGTCCTCACAGCACGACACGTTCCTGCCCTGCAGGCGTCTCCCACTTATCTCTGCGCCGACCGCGCAGCAAACCACGGAGTCCTACACGCTCCCGCACACACTTAGGGCGCTGTTCTCACCCCTCGGCCTGCGATGCTTTTCCTCCAACCGGGCGCACATCTGACTCCTTCCTGTCTTGTTACGTGCTTGGCTTATGAGTTACTTCCTCAAGAAGTCTTTCTTAACTGCCTCCCTGAAAGCAGTTCCCCCACGACCCTATCGCAGCACCTTGCTTCATCTTCAGCACAGGAATTCTCACTTCCTGATATCTGTTTTGCTCCCACCTGTTGATCCCCTCCACCCCCCAGGCTAATAAGCTCTGTAAGGGCAGCGGCCTTGCCCTCCTCTGCCAGTTAGGGAGTTGCACACAGGGGCTCCATGAAAGTTATGGACCAAACGAACAAATCCAATGAAGTGGAAGGCCAGTCGCGGGCTGGAGACACAACTTCTGTGATGGGTACGACTGCTTTATTACTACGGCAGAATTACTTATATAGAAATGGAGGTAAGTCTATGTTTCCTAAAGATGTGAAATTTTAACCACCCAACACTTACAAATAGACCAAAAGAAAGTATGTGTGAAAATTCCATGAGAAATGCACCCTGGCTGGTGTGGCTCAGGGGACTGAGCACCGGCCTGCGAACCAGAGGGTCGCTGGTTCGATTCCCAGTCAAGGCACAGGCCTGGGTTGTGGGCCAGGTCCCCAGTAGGGGGCGTGCGAGAGGCGACCACACATTGATGTTTCTCTCTCTCTCTTCCCCTCTCTCTAAAAATAAATAAATAAAATCTTAAAAAAAAATTCTACAAGAAATCCTTGGGTTTTGTTGATTGTGGGCCTTCCACTCGAGGTCCTACCTTTCGCAGTGGTGCAGGTATGTCTACCTGCCATCCCGAAACCACTGCACAATCTTCCAATCATCACTTGCACAATATCCCAGAACAGGGCGGTCGCCGGCGGGCCTTGCCACCCCGACGGACTTCGCCCTTCTTCTCCTGACCTCAGATCTCACCTTGCACCCCCATTTCTCCTTGTCACACACCTTTTCTTGTCCCATAATTTTTGGTGTCATTATTACAAAAGGAGACCATGACTGTGTTTTTATAAAATGGCAAAAACATAGTCCCGGTTTCCCACCGCCGTCCCTTGGATCCTTTGAACAAGAGGTGGTTTGGTACAAAGATAAAATCAACTTCCAGGAACATTTTATAGAGAAGTCAAGCTACAAAGCTCAGCGTCCTTTCTATAGAGGTTTTCCTATCGAGGGCAAGCGCGGGCAGCAGCAAAAGCCCTAGAGGCAAAGAGAGACCCCGGGAGTCCCCGGCCACGTCATTCCGGACGGCTCCCTGCCCACCAGCCGGCGGTGCCGTCGAGAGCGACTCCATCATGAGGGCCGCCTCAGGGCCACAGTGCGAGCTGCAAAGACACAGCCTTTTTAAGTCAGATGGGTGGCTGAGGCGGGGTTACAAAAAGAGGTGAAGAGATTCTGGGGAACTGCGTTGGCCAAACAGCTCACTTGCTGTGGTCAAAGGCCCGGTGCCCCTGTGACCTCAAGGCACCTCACACTGTAAGCGGCCTGCGCTTCAATGGCAGATGAGCAGCTCAAGCTCCTAATGCCCTCCACAAGGATGAAGTCACTCCCCGAACAGGCCGGTTTAGGATGTAGGATGCTCTCTGCCCAGCACTACCAACTGGAGACGTAAGTGGGACCATCATCGTAAAGACTCATCTGAAATGTTACTTTTCAGTGAGGCCTCCTGGTCACCGTAGAAATAATGGCAACCATACCTTCCTCCCTAATAGTTCCTCCCCGCCTCCCTTGCCAACTCTTACTGTTCTCTTTACTCCTTAGCATGTATCCCCATTTGATTTACCCTCAATGACTGACACCCCTTAGAATGTAAAATCTCTAAGAGCAAGTTTTTTTAAAACTTTTATTTTGGATGCTACCCTGTGCCCAGAACCTAGAACAGAGGCATATAATAGGTGCTTAATAAATATATTCTGAGTATGTGAATGAACGAATAAACAAGCAAATGAACCTTATCAAAGTATGGTTATTTTGCAAAGAAGTGAAGAAAAGATGTCACCCTTTAGAATAGTCTGGAGATCATGACCTGAAATGTCTGCCAGCCATTCCCTCAGAAAGGGTGTCAGAGAATAGAAACTACAAACAAGAGTTGAGGGTGAAAGGTCAAATTCATTTCTAGCAACTTGATGGAGCCTTGCGGAGCATGCTCCGCAATGCCAAGTGCCAGCCAGCAGAGCGGAGCGAGCCTTTGACCGCGCCAAGTGAGCTGTTTGGCCAGCGCAGTTCCCCAGAATCTCTTCACCTCTTTTTGTAACCACTTCCCTTCATGCTCTGACCTTAAACAAAGACTCACATCCCCAAAGATGTGGACAGACTCAAACTATCATGTATCCAACCGAAACCATGAAGACACTCAGCCATGTGACGCCGCAGCTTCCATCAGAGTGGCTGGGACTCAGCGTGCACTGCAATTTCACATGGCTGCACCTTCACCTCAGCATGTGTTGAACACTGTGTCTTCACATGAAAGCCCCAGGAAGGAAACTCTGCAACAGCGGCGTCACGTGGACTCCTCCATGAGCAATTTACCTTTGGGCAGTGACCCTTAATTTTGAGTGTCTTTTGTGGGAAGAACACAGAAGAAGGGCGGAAAACAGTTAAGAGAAATCGGTAGGGTGGGTGGAGAAGGGGAAGACCCAATGAAGGCAAAGATGAAGGAACGCTGCATGTTTTGTCTTAAAATACTCCGTGGTTGCCTAAGACACATAAATGACAACTTCCTGTGGTCACTGACTCTGTCATGCTTCCCACTCTCACTCTGCGCAACGATCAGTTGCATGATTTCAGGTTTTATTATGCCTATTTGAGAACCGAAATGGAAGCCATTAGGGAACTGGCCCAAAGTCTCACCATTGGTAATTAGCAGAAGAAGAACAAAAACAAAAGTCTGACACCGGATCCAAAGCCCTTTCCACTGGTATTTACACATTCCATTTGGACTAAAAGTAGCAGGAAATTTTCTATTGTGTTAGCAAAGTAATTTTTAAAAATTGTCCCTGTTGGATTTGTCATAAAACAGGATGAAGAATCATACAGCTATTTTTGATTTTATGTTGTTAGAACAGTTTTCCCTAGAATTTTATGATTATGCCTTCCTATTTATAAAAAAAACTTTGCACATGCATCTCCAATATAGAACTATTTATTTATAGTCCTCACATGTGCACAGCTATTCCTAAGTGTCTATAATTATAGAGCATCCAGGCAAATGGCATTTGTCCTCACTTTCCAATGATTCATCTTATATCCTAAAGGTATAGACCCTCCACTTTGGAGACCACTGCTCAAGTAATGTTCAGCTTAAAGCCTTTTACATAAAAATGTAATATCAAACAAAAAAGACATATAAAGTAAGATACTAAGCCACGTGACGCCACAGCTTGCATCAGAGCGGCCAGGACTCAGCATGAACTGCAATTTC